GAGGAGTAAAAGAGATATGGAAATACGCTTGTGTTTGTAGAGAAAAGTAATGCACAAGTTAATTTTTTATTGCTAGTCAAAAGTGGAAAAAAGTAATACACAAGTTTTTATTGCTAGAGAAAAGTGAAAATAATACATCAAGTATATATGCTCCACTTAATCAATTGTAATATAGATCAAATCATCATCATATGATTTTTCTTTTCAATGAAAAACCTTTTTATAAGTTACTCAGTCTTATGGTCTGGTAGTATTTTTCTTCACCTAGAAGGGATAGGTCTTAGGTTCGAATCTCGTAGATGGCGAATTCGATACCAATTAGGCTGTCCATTATGTGACTTAGCCGAACTCTCCCTCCCCTTAGTGTAAAATATCAATGTACTAAAAAAAAAAGAAAAAAAAAACCTTTTTATAAGAAAATTTATACTCATAATATATAGGAGGATGAAAATTTTTGGGAGCCCTCGAAAATTTGGGACCTGTGCCACGACACTTTTGCATGCCTCTGTTTCATGGGTGAGGTTGCACGTGGAGTGTTCCTACCGGCGGTGGCTTCCTAGGTACTCGAAGTGATTAGTGTGCAGATTTTCCGTCAGAGTTTCTATTGGTTGTTTGGACTTTCCAAGGGCTTTGCCCTTGGAACCATGGTTCTGTCATTTTTTGGGTTCATGGTGGTGGTGGGGATGGCGGTGCAGCGCCGTGGGTGGCTTTGGCTTGGCAACCCTTCTGCCATCTATGTTGTTGCCGCTACTCTTGCCATAATTGCGACCCACACGTCAGCGAAAACTTCTGGCGGCTCATGGTGTTAACATGTCGTTTGTAGGTTTTTGGGATGTGGTGGCGTTTCGACGACGTTGGTCGTTTTGGCTGGATCCCCTTCCGCCCACCTCTATGTGTTTGTCTCGGCAACAGCTGGTGTCTCACACCTCCTGTCTTTTTGCACGTGCCTCTGCCTCTGCTACCCCACGCATCCTACCATTTATGCAATTGCCTCTCCATTGTGGACATGTCATCTTGTTCTCTTGTGGTTTAGTTTAGTTTTAATGTTCTATCTTTGTTGCTTCGGCAAGTGGTTAGTGTCATTTTGATGTTTTTGTAGCTTCGTTGTTTTGCGATGGCTTTGGTGGGGGTTTCGATGTTTGGTATGTCACGTCTTGTTTATGGGGCATACCTACCTTGAGATTCCTCATTCTAGTGGTGTAGTTTGTGCGGTTTCCGTATAGGCGTTTAAATTTATTTCCATTTTGTGTTAATTACCTTCAGATCAAGAAATTGATCACTGGAGTATATATACCTATCTCACTTGGTTGTTTATGTAATGAAATTCTATCATGTTTGATAAATGAAATAAAAAACAGAACGCGGCCCCTGGCCTTTTCATATTGTAGATATCTATCGATAGAGGGTAATGAAAAGGAGGAATAGGGTAGTTTGATTTCTATTCTTTACGTGGAAGTGTTCGCAGTCGTGATGCTATTTCACATATTTGAGTAGACAACATTATTGTTATTTCATGAACATTTAATATACCGTTAATAAATAGTTATATGTAGCATGAGTCATCCTAATAAATACATGTAGTGTTATTTGAAGCCATAACACCATTTGTTAAGATTATATACTCACAAAAAAATTTACTCATTTCATACGTAATGGTGAAAAAACTTACCTAAAATAGAAACTCAATTGACGGTATTCTAACCTAACCTAGCACTTGAATATGGTTTAGTTATGTTTATGTTCATTCTACCATAGGTCATGGTCCTTCTTTTGGAAAATAACAAAATGATAACTCCTTTTTAACTTGTTTTTCAAAGTAGCCTTCCCCAACTAGCTAGACTAAATTGCCCACATATATTCCACCTCAACTACATGCAATTTAACTTATCGATCGAATTTAACAATGTGAACGTTTCATTGAGTATACTTTTTTCACATGTATTTATTCATGTTACAATTGGTTAAAAAAGTATCAAGGGACTGGATTGGTTGCTACCCAATACATAAAGAGTGTTACAAGACAAGTTGAGCTGGAAGCCCCTTGAAACTTACATTTATGTTAACGCTTTAATGGTACTGGTTAATAGTTTTGAACGTTCTAATTGACTCAAGTTGAACTTGTGTTATATTTTACGATCAATAACTTCATAATCCTTGATTAATACCAACTTTAAAGAGTTGGGGTTTTTATATTGTTCAATTCAAACATCATGGATCATGAGCATTTGATAATAATGGTTGAATTGTACAATATAGAAATACCATAATCTTTAATGTTGGTATTAATCAAGGATTGACAACTTAGTAATTTAATATATGCCCATTCCTAATAATCCAAATGTTTTCTTGGTCAATAAAGTTATTGATCGATTTGATATAAGGGTATAAAATAAATAAATATAATATTTAATCCCAAAAATTAAGATCAAGCTTAACGATGAGTGATTAGTATTAGAATTAGGATTATCTTCCCTCTTTTTTTCATTCTTTTTTCTTTTTTTTTTATAAAAAAATTAATATCAGATGCTGACGTGGCTTAATTATAACTGTTCATGTAAGAAGAGGAGGAAAAAGAGGAAGAAGAAGAAGATAAAATAAAATAAAATAAATGAGAATCCTACTCCTTAGTATTTTTAGTATTTTTAGTCACCAAGCGACTTAATAAAGTTTTAAACTTCGTCAATACCAAAAGGGTAATCCACTTCTAATAATTTTTTACTTTTTTATTCAAAGGATAGAGACTCGTGTTAACCCAGGCACCTGACACCTGGTTTGTGGGAACACAGAGGTTCTTCTATTAACGCCACGTATGCATGAGATGAGTCAGCTTGTTAGTGGACCCAACAACAACGAATGATACTGTCGTTCAATGAGTCAGTTGGAAGCAACAACAACCAATCACAACACAACACAACACAAAACAGAATGTCATATCCACACTCCACCACACTCAGAGGAGGGAGAAAGAGTGCGAGAGATGTTACATTCCACCACCGCACCGCCCTCCAACAGTCAACACGCATTCCGTTTGTCCCAATTCAGATGGATCTTGCATGCTAGAGCACAATAATCACTTAATCCGAACAGTTCACGAGAGAGATTCGTTTTTTCAGATGTGTCAGCAAAATGAATAATAAAGGCTGTAAGATTTTAAATGAATGATTCAGATTACTCTATTTATTAGCTCAAATTATGAAATTCGAAGAAGGTTTCCATTTTGTTTGTCTTTATTCAAATTATTATTTAATTAATGTCACTTGATTATATTATATCTGAAGAGTATTGCTATCTTTCTGCTTTTGCGACCACACCGCCGCTTGAATATTTTGTACATTTTTTAGTCATCACCACGATAATGTTTCATCCCCATCAATTACGGTCTCTATAGAAAAGGGCAATGGATGCAATGCATGTCCCAAGTCATGGCGCGACACATGAATTTTCCAGTTTTAATATCGTAGAAGAAATCCTCACCTCATGCTTCACTTATTTAAGTAACTCTAAAGTCGATATATACGAGAAAGAAAAGAAACATACTCTCCATCACACGAACCAACTACTTAACTCATAATCTCATAAAATTAAATTAAGATAACATAGAGAGATAATTTTTGAATTAGTTGAGAGTTGAACTTGAGTTGTTGCTACCACTTTCAAGTTCTCGACTTAAATGAACCCTTTAAAATCTATCCATATGTAGGGGTGGACACGGTCCGGTTCGGCCAGGTTCCACCCTCAAAATGGAACCAAAATAAAAAAAGTTCAACTGTTCGGTTTGGTGCGGTTCCGCTTAAATTTATTACTAAAATCATATGGTTTGGTTCATGTAGGGGGAGAAAAGTGATAAAACAACAAAGGATGGGGAGAAAAGTGAAGAAAAATATTGGGCTTATGCACATGGTCTTATTGGAAAAATGTCTTATTTATATAAAAATAATAATAAAACAATAATTTATATTAAAAGTAGTTCGGTCTGGTTCCTCCGGTTCTTAATATTTCCAAACCGGAATTGGAACCGTTTGAAACGGTTCGGTTCGATTTTTGTTCCGGTTTTGACTTTTTTGGTTAACGTGGGTTTTTACATTTTTTTTGTCACGATTCGATTCGGTTTTCCGATTTTGCGGTTTCTATGCCCACCCCCACATGTTTTCCATTTGTTGCTACCACATAAGTTAACTACACATTTTTCTTTTATATACGCTTTGTTTAACTATGTCTATTATGTCATTTAATTTATTCAATCAAATCGTAAAAATAAACTGAATGTATACGAGAAGAAAAATAATGTGTGGCTATAATCTCCTACGATCGTATTGTAGACTGACAAATTAAATTACTAATCAGTTAGATTTCTACTGTAATATATTGTATTTGTGAGAAATATTTCGAAGTTGCATGTGGTCCAATATCTTAATGGATAGAGTATTGAATTTCTATACATATGTACCGCGTTCGAAACTCTCATTCCTCTAAATTATTACATCTTCTCTCTTTAATAATAATAATATTGAAAAAAGTAATAATGTCGACCCCCTCCCTTAATAGTAAGATTTAAAAAACATAATCATTTCGACGTTTGCTGCTAAATATGTAATTCAAATTTACAATTTGAGAATGCGTGGTCCAGTTTCATAGTTTGAGATTAGTGCAACTTCTATCACACATCCAAAGTACAATTACAAGGAAAAAAGAGAGATATTAATGGAGATAAGTTGGTAAAGTCCATGTACTCCTATGATATTTAAACGATCACTTTCCTCGGCAGTTTCAGTTTTACAATCAAGAAAAGTACACAAGAAATCGGAATTTGAAAATCCAACCACAATATTCTTTTTTACCAAATAATGAAAGCACGTAACAAACCGCCCACCACCACTTCGACAAAGATATTTAATTTTTCCCTCTTGAGAAAGTGGGGTTTGGCTCGCCCAGAGACTGCCGCATGGCTTCAGGATCTCCATGATTGGTGGGCAATTCAAGCCTTTAAAGGGAGTGGCTGCCAATCACCTATATGGTTGTATCTCCCTCACTCATTCTCTCTCTCTCTCTCTCTCTCTCTCTCTCTCTCTGCTCCATATTTTCTCCCTCCACAAATCCTCAGTCTCAGTCGTTTATCTTTCCCCACAGAGGAAGAAAGCCCAAAGCTTTCATTTTTTTTCATTCCATTTTTTTTCTTTATTTCTTCCTTCTTCTCAGAGCGCAAAGATATGGCTTCCGCTGTGTTCAGCAACTCCATGAGCCCATCAGCGGCAGTTTTCTCAAGAAACCACCTTTCAGTTCCCGCCAACAAAGACTTCCCACTTGAATTTTCCCCATATTTTCACTACAACTGCCATTTGAGAAGCAGAAGAAGAACTGGCAATAAGAAGTGTTTGACTGTGGTGAGAGCTGTGACGGCGGCGGTGCCTCCTGCAGAGGCCCCCACCAGTGCACCCGCGCCGGCCCAGCAGAAGAAGAACCTGAGAATTCTGGTTGCCGGTGGTGGAATCGGAGGGCTGGTGTTTGCTCTTGCGGCCAAGAAGAAGGGTTTTGATGTCGTGGTGTTTGAGAAGGATTTGAGCGCTGTGAGAGGAGAGGGGCAGTACAGAGGTCCTATTCAGATACAGAGCAACGCGTTGGCGGCGTTGGAAGCCATTGATGTTGATGTTGCTGATGAGATTATGAGGGTTGGTTGTGTTACTGGGGACAGGATCAATGGCCTCGTTGATGGGGTTTCTGGTACTTGGTATGTTGTTTTGGACTTTTTTCTAAATTGGGTTTTTGTTTTTAATTTTTATCTGTTTTGATTGAATGGAGGTCGCGTTTGGTGTCTAGGATTGGATTGGACTCCATAACTGGATAGCGGTTGTCCTAAACTGTTAGCTTATATATGGGTATTTGTTTTTGGTTTTTCTGTGTTTTTAAGTGATCAAATTTATATCGATTGCCAAATTTGTTTCCTTTTGATTGTATTAGTCCAAAAATAATATGGGAATTTACGAACTCGATAATGAGAAGTCAAAGAAAATAAAATTTTCTTGTTTAATTGATGAAGACCAAGAAAAATAATGGATGAAGAAAATATGTAAAATAAAATCTTTTGTCAAACAAATTAGAAATTGTTCATTTCAATTTTCAACACAATTTACACGATTCCATACAAGTAGTATTGTTATAAGATGAGATGTGTGCGAGTGGGAGCAATTATTGATCTGTATGCAGCCATTCATATGTATTGATGAGTAGTTGATTACCAGGTATGTCAAGTTTGACACATTCACTCCTGCAGTGGAACGAGGGCTTCCAGTTACAAGAGTTATAAGCCGAATGACCTTGCAACAAATCCTTGCTCGTGCTGTTGGGGACGATATTATTATAAATGGTAGTAATGTTGTTAACTTTGAGGACCTTGGAGATAAGGTAATGATCTCGTACAAAGGAAACTAATGAAAAAGGTTTTAAAACTTTGAGTTTTAATAAGGACAAACTAAAGGGTAAAGTAAATAGTACCATGATTGACTTTTTAGTGTAAAAATGTGGTTTTTTTTGTTAAAGTGAACAGTACCGGGAGCTTTTCATTAAAGTTCCCCTCGTACTACCTGCTAATCAGTTAAATCTTATATGGACCATTGTTTTCATCTTAGAAATGTGAAAAATTTTGGTACTTGTTTTGTACTTTTTGTTTGTTTCTATATATAATCTGCAGCTTCTTAGTGCTAGTTCGATGTATTTGAACTGTATAGGCAGCGTAGTTCATCTGGTTTGGCATTTGATTCTTATGCCTCTGTCATTTTTGTAGGTTAATGTGATACTTGAGAATGGAGAACGTTTTGAAGGTGATGTTCTGGTTGGAGCCGATGGTATATGGTCAAAGGTATTGCAATATTCTGAGGATATTTCTGGGCACGCATATGAAATATTGTCTACTGATAGACCATAATCTGCAGAGTATATTCATTGTAAAAATATTAAGTTGAAATCAAATTACATTTTTCTTCTGAGTAGGTGAGGAAGAACTTGTTTGGATTATCGGACGCTGTCTACTCTGGTTATACTTGTTACACTGGTATCGCAGATTTTGTGCCTGCTGACATTAATTCTGTAGGGTATGTTTTATCTTTTATTTTTCAAGTATGGCTGCTATACTGGCATGTTTACTTTGCATTATCTTCTTATATGTAATGTTGTATCCTGCGTGAAGACTTAAATTTAAACTTATCTTTTCAAGGTACCGAGTATTTTTGGGGCACAAGCAATACTTCGTTTCTTCAGATGTAGGTGCAGGAAAGATGCAGTGGTATGCGTTTCACAAGGAAGCACCTGGTGGTGTTGATAGCCCCAGTGGTATCGATTAAGATCCTCAACCTTTCTTATGTAGTTGAAAACGTCAGATGGTGATATATATATATATATATATATATATGTGTGTGTGTGTGTGTGTGTGTTGTTTCTCTTTATGATAGTACAAGCATACAATTCATTTGTTCTTGTCTATTTTTTTGGCAGGTAAAAAGGAAAGGCTGCTCAAAATATTTGAGGGCTGGTGTGATAATGTGACAGATTTGTTACTTGCCACCGAGGAAGATGCAATTCTACGACGTGACATATATGATAGGAAACCCATCCTAACTTGGGGAAAGGGCCATGTGACCTTGCTTGGCGATTCTGTTCATGCTATGCAGCCAAATATGGGTCAAGGGGGATGCATGGCCATTGAGGTATGCATTGATTATTGGCATGTTAGTTTTTCCGGTGAAATTTAGTCTATCTTAGATTCTTTGACATCTCTGCGTTGATTATCCAAACTTCATAGCTTCTTATGGACTAACACAAGGCTATCGACCAGGAAGTGATCGATTCAAGAGTCATAAGACTCTTTGACACTATTATTTCATCATGACAGGATGGTTATCAACTGGCCATGGAGCTTGATAAAGCATGGCAGAAAAGTAGCGAATCGGGAACTCCTATTGACATTAATTCTTCTTTAAGAAGGTAACCTGTGCTATTACTTGCCGTATAATCTGAAAGTAAATGGAGATAATCTGATGAAGTTGCCGATGCATCTGAAATCAGTGTTCTTAAAATGGAGAACATAGATACGTGATGTTCACAGAAGAAACCTAAGTAGTTGTTGTATAGACTTAGGTGAGTTGATGAACTACTCATTGAGGACTGTTTTTTAACTTTTTATGTTTCTTACTTTGTCTTCAGCTACGAGAATTCTAGAAGACTACGTGTCGCAATTATTCATGGAATGGCCAGAATGGCTGCTCTAATGGCTTCTACTTACAAGGCTTATCTGGGTGTGGGACTTGGTCCTTTGTCGGTAAGACCTTTTATTAAGTTCATCTGAATAGCAGTGAAATGATTGGTGATGGAATGGAGGTGTTGCGTACGTACTTATGTTGACTTAATACCCTTGTAGTTTTTGACAAAGTTTCGGATACCGCATCCGGGAAGAGTTGGCGGGAGAGTTTTTATTGATAAGGCAATGCCCCTGATGCTAAGTTGGGTCTTAGGTGGTAACAGGTAAAATTTTGATCAACAGCTTTGTAATTTTCTGTGTCTTTTTCTTATTTCAGTATCATTTTTGTTTTAACTAAAAGTCTCGTTACAATTTTAATCTGTCAAAGCGTAGATCATAGATCTTCGTGTGTTTTAAATCGATTCTTTTCTAAAGAATCTGAAAATGTTCTGTTGCAGCTCAAAACTTGAAGGAAGGTCCCCCAGTTGCAGGCTCTCAGATAAAGTATGTCATTCAAAGTACTATTAATCAGCACCGTGTTAGTCACTGGATATGGAAACTGTTATTTCTTTCCTTCAACCTACGATTGACCTGTTGGATTTTATTGTGAATTAACTGCTAATGTGTGGGCAAAATTTTATGAAGGCAAGTGACCAGTTGCGAACATGGTTTGAAGACGATGATGCACTGGAGCGTGCTATTGACGGAGAGTAGGTTTTTAATCCTTCTTTCTGTCCACGAAATATTTTCAGTCAATTTAGTAATCCAGGATACTTGTGTTAATATCCACTTTGTTCTTGTAGGTGGTATCTTATACCTTGTGGGCAAGACAATGATGCTTCACAACTTATTTGTTTGAATCGAGATGAGAAAACATCCTGCGTAATTGGGTATGCATATCCGTCATTCCCGTCCTCCCCTACAAGACACATTTGTCCATGAGCTATATTGTTGCTTAGGACAGAAACATCAAAACCGTATAATTTTCAAATGCACGAGTGTTTTCAGTCAGATGTTCTAAAAGATAGTATGATGTTTTCTTCTAATTGTAGGAGCATACCGCATGGGGATGCTTCTGGAACATCAATAACAATACGCTCGCCCCAGGTGATTTGGCCGGTTTTGTTCACTTTACATTTATCTCCAGAAACAAACCTATTTCCTCCTTTTATGGTGTTCTATATTGAGTGCTGAGGTATTTCTCATCATAGGTCTCAGAAATGCATGCTCGTATCAGCTACAAGGATGGTGCCTTCTACGTGACTGATTTGCAAAGCGAGCATGGTACCTGGATTGCCGAGTAAGTAGAATTTTTTTTTTTTTTTTTTTTTTTTCCGAAATAGTTGAAACAAAGTGATTTCCTCCTTTTTGCATGCAACTCAATTTGCTAAACTGTTTCCTGCATTCCCCCTACAATTTAATTTCTAAATGTGCAGTATTGAGGAGAAGCGATACCGAGTGCCCCCAAATTTCCCTGCTCGTATCCATCCATCCGATGCTATTGAGATTGGTTCCCAGAAGGTAGTAAACAATCCTTACCCTAGAGTTTTCTCCATATCTCATACTCAATACATGTGACATTTTTGTTTAAGTTGTGTTTGGGTTGTGCATGTTTTTCGACTGACATGTTCATTAAATAGCAAACGAAGTTCCAAATGAATTTTTGCAGAGCGACAGGAAAACAAAACTCTCTAGATAAAGCGGTGATAGTATTCATCTAAGCTCTCGTACTGACATGGTTTTGCTTAAATTTGTTTGGACAAGAAACCCGCATGAACATGGGACCTTAACTTTGGGACCTAGATAGAAGCATAGATAACTTCCTACTGCCATGGTATTTTAAGAAAACAAACAAACAAATCGTATATTAAGCGAATGGTGTCACATTTTTGTTCGGCGTTGTCATCTTCTTCTGTGGTTCAATCGTTTAATTCCCTAAGCAGGTGGCTTTAATTTTCCGATCAGTGCACGGAACATCATGCTTGATGTTGTATCTGTTTCCTTTGCTGGAAAGAATTCTTAGCATCCAAGTAATATGATGCAGGTAGCATTCAGGGTTAAAGTTATGAAGTCTTCTCTGAAGAGTGCCGAGGACGGAGTTCTTCAGGCCGCGTGACGCTTGGTGGAAGCCGATAACTTTATAGAATGAAATTTGTACAGCATTATTGAGATCATTGGAAATGCAAAATGTGAATATGCTGCGCTTTGCAGAGTAGATAGCATTACACCATCAGATTCTACCCACCCAAAACAAAAATGTACGACGTGTAGAACTTTATATACTTGATGATCAATGTGAATATATCAATTTTTACTAGTGTCATGAAGTTTGTGTTGTAGACCTCAATGTGACCAGGACATACCAGTTTAGCTTTTACTTTTGTAAAACAATCTGAATGCTAATTAAGAAGTAATCCTTTGTTAAAAAAAAATAAATAAATAAAGATTTAATCCTAATCGTTTTTGTTAAAATGACAATCCTTGCCTCGATCTGAGCCCACAGCCCAGTCTACTCTTAATCCCAGATCATCTATCAGTAATCCTGATCAACCAATTTGGAGCCCATTTAGTGAGTTAGCTAGCTTTTGCCTGGGAAATGAGCTGAAGATTGCGACGTGTTCAAACCAGGTAAACTTGGTTACATTACATACATTTACCATTAACAGTCATATATGCATGCAATCATACCAACTCACATGCATCGAATTCCATCAAAATTCCGAAGTTAAGCAAGTTTGGATTAGAGTAGTACTAAAATGGGTGACCTCCTGGGAAGTCCTCGTGTTGCATCCCCCTACCTCTTTATTGACTATTATGATGCCAGGTGGCATCATCAGGTTTGTCCAAATGTACAACCAAGATGGCTAGATTTGTTAATAATTGGTTTTGTTGTTAGGAATTGTTGCTAAGTGTATCTTGTTAGACTGTTAGAAGGTTGCTGGGTGAGTAAGATACCGGTGAATATATAGGGAAGATCTGTAAGATGAAAGTTGTTTAATTGATTGTTGTATGAAATAACAAGTGAGTTTTGTATACAATAATGAAGAAGTAGAGCATGGGTTTTAACATTGATATCAGCCAGTGTTTGATTCACTCAACCTTCATCATTGTATGACACGCCAAGCCTCGAGGAAAGCCATGGAATCCTATGATTGTCGATCTCAAAACGGAGCTCAAAATCAATCAAGATATGATTCTGCTACAACTGCAATCACTTGCAGCGAAAGGCAGTGGGGGATCGTGTGGAGAATCTTCTGAAGCAACGTCGTTGAATCCCAATTTTCCTGAGGGGATGAACCCTAATCCTAATTTCAATTGCCAAGATTTGGGTCACAACACTAATCGACCACCTTTCTTGAAGATGGACTTTCCAAATTTATGGAAGAAGATGATCCATTGGGTTGGGTTTATAAGGCTGAACATTACTTCGATTTTTTCAACATTGAAGATTCAAAGAAAGTCAAATTGGCATCGCTTCACATGGAAGGGGAAGCTCTGCAAGGGTTCCAAAGGGCAAAATGCCTCTAACAATATCCTATATGGGATGATTTTACTAAGATTTTGTGCCAAGAATTCGGACCTTCAGAATTCAAAGATTATGCTGAAAATATGATAAAATTAAGGCAAACTAGGCCTCTCAAAGATTATATCATGGATTTTCGAAGATTGTCCAATTAAACAAAAGATATAAGTCCTGTACTTCTCAAATCTTGTTTCATTGGAGCTTTGAAGGCTGAATTGCGCCATGATGTGAAGTTGCTGAAACCAATGGATGTTCTTAAGATGAAATCTTTTGCCCAGCAAGTGGATGCTACGCTATTTGATCTTAAGATGAAATCTCTCCATAAAGCTTCTTCATTTCAGCCTCATTTTAGATCACCTACTATGCAAAATGTCATAAATCCTCCAATCATTGAAACTCACCCTAAGAATCCTCATGTGAGACGATTAACCCCTGAAGAAGTTGATCACTGTAGAAAAAATGGATTGTGTTTTCACTGCAAAGATAAATATGTTAGACGTCACACATGAGAAAAGAAGCAGCTACTTCTTATTGATGTTCAAGATTATGAGAATTTGAAGGTTGGGGAAGAAGTAATTGAAACAGAAAAGCCTGAGATCACTGCTTGTGCTTTGTTTGGCACACCTGCACCTCCTACAATTAACACAATGAGAGTTCAAGGGTTCATAAAAAACTGCCCAGGCAGTTCCCACAATTTTATTGCCCTTAGTTTAGTGAAAATAGTGAAGGGTACATTGGATATCGGCCATATATTCAATGTTAAGATTGCTGATGAAGGAATAATGGCTACAAAAGGAACCTTAAGTCAGGTTTCTGACAAAATTCAAGAGTTTATATTGATCTATATGCAATACCATTAGGTGGTTGTGATGTTGCACTAGGTGTGCAATGGCTAAGAACTCTCGGAACAATTATGTGGGATTTTGACAAAATGTATATGAAATTCTCCAAAGGCTCTCAAACATTTTGCATTAGTAGCCCTGGTTCTTCTTTGCACCAGATTGAGGATATCATTGCATTGTAAATGCAAAAACTTCTCCAGCAAGAAACTGCAATTAGGGCCTTTCTTTATCACATGGACGCAGCTCATGTGGATCACTCTATTGTCAATCAACTGCCCCAGACTTTGTCTCAAGCTCAGCAGCATGAATTGCAATCCTTGTTAGAGGAGTATGAGGTATTGTTTCTTAGCCCAAATACCTTACCACCACACAGAATGCATGAACACAGAATTCCGTTAATTAGTAGCAGCAAACCTCCTAATTGTAGATCTTATAGATATGTACTTGTGCAAAAGACATAAATAGAGAAATATGTGAGTAAATTGCTGCAATCTAGTTTTATCAGAATTAGTAACAACCCTTATTCATCACCTGTCATTTTGGTAAGGAAGAAAATGAGGGTACTTGCAGGATGTGTATGGACTATAGGGGTCTTAGTTTGATCATTGTTAAAGACAAATTCCCAATTCCACTTATTGATGAGTTGTTAGATGAGTTGGATGGAACTCAATATTTTTCAAAGCTGGATTTGAGAGTTGGCTATCACCAAATAAGAATGCATCCAAAGGATATAGAGAAGACAACATTTTGAACTCACGATGGTCATTATGAATTCTTGGTTATGCCATTTGGATTGACATATGCACCTGCAACATTTCAATGCTTGACGAATGAAATATTCAGGCCATACTTAAGGAAGTTCATATTGGTCTTCTTTGATGACATATTAGTTTACAGTGATTCATGGGAGTCTCATTTACAACATTTGAGGACAGTTTTTGATACATTACAGAGTCACACTTTGTTTGTTAAGAAATCTAAGTGTGCTTTTGGTCAAAACAAGGTAGAATACTTAGGCCACATTGTGTCTAAAAAAGGTGTAGTTGCTGACCCTACCAAATTGGATTCTATTGCAAAATGGCCTATTCCTAATTCTGTCAAAGCTTTGAGGGGGTTTCTTGGATTGACTGGATATTACAAAAAGTTTATACCACACTTTGGGAGAATTATTGGTCCCTTGACTACATTAACTAATAAGGATAGTTTCCTTTGGAATGAAGAAGCTACAACGGCTTTTAATACTCTCCAAACATCAATGTTATCACCACAAGTACTTGCTTTACCTGATTTCAGCAAGCCCTTTATAATTGAAACTGATGCTTCTAGTTTTGGGATTTGAGTAGTTCTTCGACTGGAGGGTCGACTTATAGCTTTCACAAGCAAAGCTTTGTGTCCTAGAAATCAACAATTGTTTGCTTATGAGAGGACATCTTAGCTATAGTTCATGCAATTACCAAATGGCAATGTTACTTTGCGGGTAACCATTTCATTATTCAAACTGATTATCACAGTTTGAAGTATATTCTTCAAGGAAGGGCAAATACACCATTTCAGAAAAAATGGGTATCCAAGCTTATAGGATTCGATTATGAAATCCAATATAAGCAAGGCAGTGATAATCTAGATGCTGATGCATTGTCAATAGGTCAATTTGATCCGGAACTGTCTGAACCAGATGTGTTAGATCCTATGGAATGTTTGGCAATCTCATATCCATATTCTTAATAGATGGATGAACTTCGAAGACATCGGGAGAATGATGCTTGGATACTGCAACAAATTCAACAAGTTTTGATTAATTCTTCAAATAAAGATCCAGTTGGTAATCTCAGATACCAAATGGATAATGGGTTTTTGAAGTTCAAGCATAGAATTGTTCTTAGTCCTCGTAGTTCTTGGAGAACAAATTTTTTTGAAGAACATCACTCTAGTCCTACGACAGACCATGAAGGATTCCTTAAAACATATAAAAGGATTTCTAGATCATTTTTCTGGGCGGGCATGAAGAAGAACATAAAAGTTGGTTGAAAGCTGCCCCATATGTTAACAACACAAGTATGAAACTCTGTCACCTCCAGGGTTACTTCAGCCACTGCCTATTTATATTAAAATTTGGGCTAACATTTCTATGGATTTCATTGTTGGTTTGTCTTCTTGCAAAGGCAAAACTGTAATTTGGGTGGTAGTTGATCGATTGTATGCATACTTTTTAGTAGTAGCTCATCCTTATTCAGCTTCTATGATTGCTCATATGTTTGTTAATCACATCTTCAAGTTGCATGGGATGCCCAACTCCATAGTTAGTGATCGAGATCCAGTCTTCATGAGCAAGTTTTGGAAAGAGTTCTTTATTCTTCAGGGTTCTAATTTGTGCTTTATTTCAGGGTATCATCCCCAAACAGATGGACAAATTGAGGTTCTCAATCGACGTCTTGAAACATATTTGAGATGTTTTTGCAGCTTGTAACCAAGGAAGTGGGCTATGTGGTTAGCTTGGGCTAAATGGAGCTATAACACAGGGTATCACACTGCTACAAAAATGACACCTTATGAAATAGTCACCTCCTCTTGTTTCCTTCTATGACAAGGGTACCGCTAAAATACCCCTAGTGTAACTAATCGAATTTATAAGCTAATTATTTTTAGTTAAACTTTTTATTTTTATTTTTTATGGTAGAGAGTATAGTTTTTCTTTAGTAAAACTTTTATTCTTTTTTTCATTTTTTGTTGAGCCCCTTTTCCTGCCCCATCTCTATCTTCCCCATTATTTTCATTTTTATTGTGACCCTCTGTCCTACCCCATAGCCACAGCCTTTCCAGTCACCACCAGCCACCTCCCCCTACTCTCTCTCCATCCCTCACAAATTCTTCTCTCTTCATCTGTTCTTGATTTTGTAAATGTTTAATTTGGGTCGCCACTAACACACGAGATCGAGTCGGGGATGAATCGAAGTGATT